TACACCCACTTTTCATCGCCGGTGACAATTCGATACAAATTACTGTGCTTTTATGCTCATCAAGATTTTTTTTGCATATCATGATTCGTGCTTTGAGTTACGCTTCAGTGAGTTCATGTGGAACTCATTTTCCCAGCTTCCGAATCTTCCCCATTTCACGCAAGTGTCTGGAAATGGTTGCCTGGTCGACTTCTAACTGCATTGCAAGTTCATGTTGCGTTTGGGTTGGATCTTCATCCAACAATTCTTCCAATTCGGGATTTTTACACATTTTTGAATGACCTGAGCGTTCTTTATCTTCTACTTCGAAATCACCACTTTTGAAGCGTCGAAACCAGTACTCACATGTTTTGATTAGGGTTTACAAACGTTTCGACAAATACCGCAAACGGTGTTATAAAAACGTTATTTTTCTGTAGTGTTTTTTTTGACAGTCCAAAATACCGCAGAAATAACGATAAAAAACGAAAAAAACGTTTTTTGGGCGGTATATAACGGCTCTGTAAAAAAACGTTTTTAAGAAACACTGAAAAAAATAACGCGTTTTTAAACTCTAGTTTTGATCGATGGAGTATGATCAACGTAAATTTCCAACAGCAAACGATGACTTTCTGCTGCACTTTTTTTCGAATTAAAGAAGAAAAGCAAAACTTCCCTGAAATGCTGTTTATTTGGCACGTACGCTGACATGATTGCGGTCTAAAAAATTATGTTGTTTACATTTTTCCAATTTGACACCAAATAAAAAATGAAGCTATAAGACGAAACTTTGACATGCAGGTAGCTACAGTATGGTCAGATGCGATACAATACAAGTTACGCCATCTCTTATTAATCCCTCAAAACTTTTGCATACACCCAATAATATTAATATAATACATTTTACGACTCACGAATAGATATGTTACTCTGAACAAATAGTTACGAAATGATCTCCCAGCCTAGAGACTAAATCTGAACTTGAATGTAAGACAAGCATCTAATCCGAATGTCGAAATCTAATCATTTGCTATCAAGTAAATTACATCTTATAGTAAGTTGTTTGAATTGAGTAGACCATTGGTACCGACCTTAAAGCATCAACCAGTAGCTCTAAGCAAACAGCGCCACATACTTTGACAGTAATATTTGACACTGCTCAATATTTGACTATGTAAGCTCGAGGTAAGTGGGTCTATGGCCGTGATCAAAGTTTGGACGAACTCTATCTTGCAAATGAGGTTATTGTTAGTGAACTGCTACAGCGGCGATTGGCACACTGTATGATTTTATCTCGATGCATCCACCCCAGTAACGAAACTTTGGAAACACTCAATCGTACACACGCATCCAAATATATCTTATTTATTATCTAATTGGCTTAATTATTCATTTTATTGCGTGGCAATTTAAATTTTATTGCTTCTTATTTTATCGGCCCACTATCAGTCTTTTACATAACACATTTTTCATTCGCGACAAATCAGTTGGTTGTCGAGTTTAGTTATCAACAGGGTGTCGTTGGAAGAGTCTTTTTTAAATCAGAGTTTTCAAACGAACAAATCGATTTTACTGTTAAAAGCTACCAGAATCAAAAAAGAGAATCAGTTGGAATTCGAAGCTGAAATCTCACAAGATTTATTTCCATAACATGGGACAATCAAACGATGTACTAAGATCAGATAATGAAGGAATCAGTCGATTTCGACGCATTTTGCCTCAGGTACGAACTTCATATTCGGAAATCCTTTATTTGAGAGTTCATATAACACGAAAAGTAGTTGAAGTTGCCACATACTAAATTTTGATATTCATTTGAATCTAAAGACACATACGTTTTCATTCTGAAGTACCTTTTGGAGTTATATTTTTCGTTTTTATTAGTTTATTGCTTGCATGGTAAAAAATATGATCATAGTCGATACAGGCTTGACTTATGCAGTGCCAACGATTTTAATTGCGGCAATGACAGGTATTTCAAATGAACATAATCGCAATGAATATATTTCGATTACACCCGTGCAAGCATCTTGGTTGGGTAAGTGTCAAATCCATTTTTTTAAATTCAGAAACGAATTGATTTTCTTCAATTTGGTTCTTCTTACACCTTTCCTAAATTTATTGACCATTTTTTTGTTATAGGATCGATAAGCAGTTTAGTTCAACCATTTGGCAGTCTTTTATCGGCCTTCATCACAGGTACTTTCGCCGTAAAATATTGAGATTCATGAGATAACGCCCAGAGAATCAATTCAGCATAGATATATCTGAAATGCTGGATATTCAACGGATGAGTATGTGTCGTTCTGTGTGCGCGTGAACGGTAGAGGGGTTTAAGTTGCACGCACACAAAGAGAAAAAGACGGACAAACAAAGTGTGTGTACTATCACTGAGTAATGAATCTTGACGATTGACAGTTGTTGGCAATCCTGCGATTGTTTCAATATATTTATGTTGATTGGGACTCACTCACTAAATTGCTGCACAGTATATCTAGTAACAATTCAGTAGCAAGCGAGTTTTGCTGTGAGAAGCGATACACAATGCTTGTGTGTGTGTATTGGTCAACACTGGCAATGAAACGTCATTCCATTTCTTTGTCTCACTTTCTCATATACGTAATTGCTTAAACACTTCAGCAACACATTAATGTTCTTGTTCTCCATTTATCCCTTTCGTTCAACTGTGTGTATGTCTTTCGTTTCTTCGCTCCAATTGTGTGCGTGTGTTGAAAACGAATGTTGACCGAATCGCGCATTTGTTTTGATGCACAACGGTATCGCAAAACATGTTTGTGTGACGTTCAGCCGGTATATTTTATTCCAATAATATTAATATTGGACGGTTCATTTTGAAAAAAAATTGCATTTCGGAGATTCAATTGAAAAAAATGTGTATCGACTTTGCGTTTTGTCATAATATTTTGGTTGTGATTTGCTTACTCTTTCGCCCAGCTGACAGTTCATACGCGCGAATTACGCTTGTTTGTGAGTATGCGTGACACATCAATAGAAAGACGAGCAAGCGAATTTTGACTGTGAGAAGGATTTGAAACAAAACGCTGTTCTCTTCATGTCTCACTTTCTTAAATGCATTCAGTAGCACATTGATGTTCTTGCTCTCTTTTGCCTTTCGTCTGACGGTGTGCGGTGTGCGGTGCGCGTGTATTGTTTCAACAAACAAATTCACCGTCTATGCACACAATCGACGCGCGATGCTAAAAGCAAGGCGTGCATGTGTATGTGTTTAAACAGGCCACAATGTGTCGTTGAATGTTATGTGTTTATTATAAACGTTTTTTGGTTGGCAGAACCATGCTTGTTTTTCAGCATTTATTATAAACGTCAAAGAGTCGGATACTTTATTCATCGTTTGTACACTGTACAATGTTCCAGCACGCACACTCGAAGCACTTACCGTTCATTAAAAGCAAGAACCGATAGACTGAGTGCACACACAAAACGAAGCCTACTCATCAGATGAATTCTCAGCATTTTAGATATTTTTTTGCTGAATTAATTCTCTGATAACGTCATTCATTTAAAATTGTTTTCTTTTTGCTAGATTCACTTGGCCGTAAGCTATCGATGATACTCGTCAACATACCGTATGCTTTGGGCTGGTTCATGATTCATCAAGGAGATGCTATTTGGAAAATATTAACTGGTTGTGCTTCCTTTGGACTAGGCATAGGCTTGATGGAAGCTCCTATTATTACTTACCTTGGTGAAATATGGTAACCATATTATGGTTGAACTCGACAATTTTCATTCGAAATGATCAAAACTAATGAATATTCCATTGATTGTTTTTAGCGAGCCTTCAACACGTGGCGTTTTGGTTTCTCTGTCATTCATTAGCGTTACGATTGGAACTTTTTTGGGTTTTTTCTTAAACACTATGATGTCATGGCGAACCTTAGCTCTGGTTTGTTTGTCCTGCCCGATAATTACCGCCATTGCCATTTGTTTTGTAAGTTTGAATATGATTGTTTTAAGGTTTGATCAAAGTCTTCTTTATTCATCTTTCGGTTTGAGAAAATGTTGAGTTAATTACACACACAGAAAAGAATCCCCGGAAATTTTGGGTGTTCGCCGTAATTTGACATTTATATATAAATTTCTATATACATTTTACCGGCAACAC